TTAGGTCAACATGGGCTCCACTGTTCCATCAGTTATGACAAAACAAGAAAAAATAAATAAGAACATGAGGAATTTCATATTGGGCCAGACATTTTAGCTGTTCAGTCTAGTCTTCTACTTCTTAAAAGCACATTATGAAATATGTTGTAGGGGAACTAGTTATGCCTACAAGGTTGAAGAAAACAATATAAATAGCCCTAATTTCTTCTGCAATCCATTGGGAGTCAGCGACTCATGACATAATTCAAATGTTTCTCGGAACCACTTAAATTCAATACTTTCACTCATTTACTCATTCACACCTTCATTCAGTGAGCATCCAAAAAGCACCTGCTGTATGTGAAGTGTTCCGCTTACGCAGAGAGGACACAGACCTTATTTAGAGCTCACCGGTTTTTGCATGCAGTCTTGTGAGTGCTGATGTTTGTGCGTGGGACTGTGTAGGTGTATGTGTGTGGTTCTATGCAATTTTATCACTTGTATGTATACCTTTGCGCAACTACCACCATAATTAAGATACTGAACCACTGAATCAACAAGGTTTCTCTCCTACTATCCTTTATATCACCCCACACTCACACCCCTCTTCCCCCAACCCTCACTTCATTCCTAATGCTTGGTGACCACTAGCTTGTTCTCTATCTCTGTAGTTTTTTTTTTTTAGAATACTACATAAATCATAAGGATGTAATTTGTGAGGGTTTTTTTTCACTCAGCATAATACCCTTGAGATCCATCTAAGTTGTTGCATGTATTAATAGTTTGTTCCTTTTTTATTGCTAGGTAGTATTCCATTGTGGGGATGTACCACCATTTGCTTAAGCCATTAGCACTGAAGAATATGTTTGTTGTTTCCAGTTTGACACTATTACAAACAAAGATGCTATAAAGATCAATATTCAAGTTTTTGAGTGGACATATGTTTTCATTTCTCTGGGATAAATGCCCAAAAGTCTAATTCCTGGGTCATATGGTAGGTGTATGTTCAATTTTAAAAGAAGCTGCCAAAGTATTCTCCAGAATACATCAGCAAGGTACGAGATGTCGTTTCTCTTGATCTTCACCAGCATTTAGTATTGTTACCATTTTAAATTTTAGCTCTTTTTTACTAAGTGTAGTGATAACCTCATTGTGATTTTAATTTGCTTTTCCCTAGCAATCAATGATATTGAATATCTTTTCATTTGCTTATCTTCCATCTGTATATCCTCTCTGGTAAAATGTCTATGTTCTTGCCCATTTTCTAACTAGAATATTTATTTTACTATTGAGTTTTGAAAGTTCTACATATATTCTAGATACAAATCCTTTGTGAGATGTATGGTTTGCAAAGACTTCCTCCAAGTCTGCCTTTTCCTTGTTCATCTTAATAGAATTCTCAGAAAAAAATTTTTAATTTTGATTAAGCCCAATTTATCAGTTTTTATTTTTATGGGCTATTCCTTTGGGTGTCATAGATAAGCGCTATTCACTTAGTCTTGCCCTGAAGATTTTCTCTTCTGTTTTCTTTTAAAAGTTCTATAGTTTAGTTTTATACTTAAATCTATGATCTATTTTGTGTTAATTTTTATACAAAGTGTGTATAAGCTGTCTACAATTAATAAATTGGTACTTCTTCTAGACACCAATATAGAAGGAGCCTTAATTTTTAAACTTTATTTACTTTATTCTTGTCTTTTGTGCCACCATTGTCATATTTTAATTCTACATGTATTTGGAACCAAAAAAGACATTCCTGTTATTACTTTTAATATTTTTATCCTTTCTAGTTTGAGTCATTTCTTTTCATATGTTTCTGTTTCCAACTGGAGTCATTTTCTTTCTGACAGGATAGCTTTCTTCAGTATTTATTTTACTGCTGGTATTAAATTATATTGGCTTTTCTTTGTCCGAAAATATCTTTAACTTTTCTTCAATTTAAAAGATTTTTGCTGAATATAGCGTTATAAATTGGCAATTATTCTCTTTGAACATTTTAAAAACACTATCAATCTGTTGTCTTATGACTTCCACAGTTTCTGCTGAAAAGTCAATATGCCAGACTTATTGTTGCTCTTTTTAAAGTAATGTGCCTTTTTTCTCTAGCCACTTTTAAGATTTTTCTCTTTGTCTTTGGTTTTCAGCACTTTGCCATAATGAATTTTTTCTCTCTGAGCTTCAATATATACGTTTTCTATAATTTTCTAGTTCTTTAATTCTTTCTCCTGCTCAGAAACCAATTTCTTCATTTCAGTTACTCTATCTTTTTGTCCTAAAAATTCCATTTGATTCATTAATGTGGATTCTAGTTTTCTAAAGACACTCTTCATCTTTTAATCTATTTTTGAATATAATAATCATAATTATCTTCAAACCAATATTCAGTAACTCCAATATCTCAATAATCTATGCGTCTGTATTGACTGGTTATTAGTTTCTTTGTTTAGTTTAGTTCACCGTCATCTGGTCCTGTCTCATAGCATAACTGGTCATTTTTTACCGACTTCTTCACATTGTGCGTGAAAACTTTCAGAGGCTCTTGATGATACTGTCTTCCTCCAGGACATGTTTAATTTTCTTTCTTTAGGCAGTTAAATACAGGCAGACGACCTTCCTCCGAAAAGGGATTTAGGAGTATTTCGGGCTGAACTGTACGCTTTGTGTAAGCCAGGTCATTTCTGTTTTTCCCTCACCCAAAGGGTGTCTCAGAGCCCCTCTTTGACAGGACCACAACTCCATTTTTTTTGTCTCTTCCACTAAGAGACTCCTGAAATCATCGTGTTTGGCTTTTTACTCTGTTCGTAGTTATTTTATACTTGTTTTCTTGGCCACTGACCGTGAGAACGCATAGTTTAGTAATTAGCAAATATCTTAAAAATCATGAGCAGACTAACAAGCTCATTTTTTGTGATGTCTATATCTCTCTGGAAGCTTGGTCCCTCAAGTCCTGGATGCCTTGAAGGCTTGACCTCTGACTTTTGCCTCCCATGTAGTGAGACTGACACAAGCTCCAGGCTCTCTTCTCTGCCTCTGTGACTGTCACTGAGAATTTGTCCATTTCACTAACGGTCGGGGGCGAGGGGAAATGAATTACATGTATAACTCACTTCAATGCATTTTTCTTCTCACTGGGACTGGGTCCCTTAAATCCCTGTTGTCTTGGCTGATATGTGATGCCTTCAAATAGCTTTTTTTTTTTGGTACTTTAAACATTTTTTATAGTTTAATGAATCTTGTCAATGTCCTAGTTCCAATAAGTTAGAAAACATTCAGCGGTATGCTCCCAGCACAATTCTTGTCAAGCGGTCAAGATTTGTCTCCATAATGGCCAAGTAGATCATTTTTTTTTTAAGGTTTTGGGTTTTTTTTTTTTTAACAAGTAGATTCAGTCCCCAACAACAGACCGAGGATTCAAAGAAACCATTGCTGGGTAAACCTTGCTGTCATACGTACTGAAAAGGTTCCCCTCAGTGAATCAGGTGTGAACCGATTTGCAGGTACTTTCTTACACTGTCACGTGCTCCCCAGCCACCATTGCTTTTGATGAGGATAATTCAAGACTTTCAAACTCACTGCTAAATGGATTATTGGAATATAACCTTCTAGCCTACCTGTTGCTCCCAGCAAGGCTAAGATGACTCACATTAGCTTTCACCTGGAATGCATCACTAACCTCACGAATTTCTGACTTCACACCTGCCGAGAACTGAAAAGCCAAAATTAGTGATAAAAGGACTGCAGAGCCCTCAAGCTGTATTAGATACTAGACAGCCAGTGAAACCCTGCATCTTAACAGAGCATTCAGTTTGGACCACCATATGTTTAATTTTTTTATTGTCCCTTCCATTGCTTGAGATTCATACCCCTTCTGGATGTTAACCTGATTCACTACAGAGATTTTTATGTCCCAGTTTCCTCTCAAACAGCAACAATATTTTTCATCTATTGCTAAACTACTGCTCATCTTCCTTCCCCAACCCGCATGACTAGCTGTCCTTTGGACACTTGCTTATATTTCCTTGAATATCATTTCAATATTCTGGACTTCACGTCACAATGACCCCATCACACATGGGTTTGACATACACAGCACTATGTGATCTTTCTTCAGTTTACTTCTCCCTGCTGTATAATTGATTACTAAGAAGATTAAATTTGCATAATCTCTTTCAAATCATTCATAAAACGGTTTCTGGTCTCTATAAGCATTCACTCTCCAAAATGAAAAATTCCTCTCAATTACAGTAATTCAGTTTTAAAATAAATTTTGGTAGAATCCTACTCAAGACTTTGAAAGTATATACAAATTATACTGAATAATTACTCTTTACCCCGGTAAACTGATTTAATGACTCGTAAGATTTCCTTTATAATAAGAATATTGTAAAAGGGATTGTCTTTCTTAAGTATGCAGGAGTTCCACTCAGTATTAAAGCGTCATGCTTTTCCGAGGTAAGCAGGCAAGCCCCGCCTGCTTGAATTGCTCAGGATCTCCTCAGGTCCTCAGGATCCCAATCTATGCAAGAAGCCCATCAGTCTTCCAGCACAATGATTATCGCAAACCAGGTTCGACAGGCTAGCCACCTTCTTGTTAGTTTCCCCTTTGAGAATCCCCAAGACATATTCCATGCCAGCAGTTTATTTATATCTAATTTTATTATTTTTTTTTTGGTGGGGGTAGGTAAACAGGTTTATTAATTTTCTGAGGAGTTACTGGGGATTGAACCCAGGACCCTGTGTATGCTAAGCATGTGCTCTACCACTTGAGCTATACCTTCCCCCTTATTTATATCTAGATTGTAGATTTGGTTGAGCACACTCTTGAGTATTTGCCACTGTTTGCTCTAATACATCTTACTTGAAACAATGTGAGAGATTCTCCCAAAAGCCATTCTCAGCCCAAAGCAGCTAATTCATTAAGTAAGTTTGTCTTTCTCTCCTGTTTTCCCCCAAACTCATTTTCACAGACTCCCTTCCAACCTCCTCATTTCCCTACTGTATTTGGTCTTCACTGTACTTACCCAGGTGACTGATGGCTTCCTTGTCCCAAGGCCAAGTGGCAGCACCTGCAAGGTCTTCCCGCACTGAGCTGGCAAAGTAGACGTTGAGGAAGTGAGTGCTGTTGAGCTGCAGGGCCTCCTTCAGCTCCTTCACACTCATGTATGCCCTGGAGAGCACGGGAGAGGAGGACGTGTCACGCCAAAGCATCAGCACAGAGCGAAGAGCAGAAGCAGATCTAATCAGACTCTGACACTCCCAACCGGCATGGCTTTACAGGAGCAGAGAGGCCAGAGATCAGATATCATGGAACTCTCAAAAAAGGCACTAATACACAATTCAGATATTACTCCGAGATAGGTAACACCCTACCTTTTTAGTACCGTAATATATGAATACTCAGTATTTGACATCATACTCAGTTCTCCATTCTACACCCAGATTATTTCTTCAAGATGAATGCAACAATACTCCTAATTCTATACCCTGAGAACGACCCCACAAGCCATGGTGTAGAAGGCCCTCCAGCTCTCAGTCTCTGATTCTTTCCATCACACTGCATCATCGTTACTACAATAAGAAGACCGACTGATTCTCTAGTTTAGTAAATTCTTGCTTCAGGCAGTACTTTTTAGAAAAAAAGGTAAATAGTAGCTAGGAAATAAAAAGTAAAAGAGGAAAAACAAATGATGCGTTATAGATAGGAGAGGATATAATGCTATTGCAAAATTGTTTTCCAGAACTTAACCCATAGAAACTCTACCCCTATTCTGACTACCTTATGATACTCCCCAAGCATCTCTATCAGTGGCCCCCAAAGCACCAGGCAATGTTATGTTTGCACTTACTCGCAGAATTAAAGGTCTATTAAAAACACATGCCCCATGGCCCATAAAAAAGAGAAACAAGCATTTTATCTCTTCTTAAGCTCATAGATAGTCAAAGATCTTCATCTTCCTGGCATCAGTGAAACTTAAAAATTTACCATGAGCAAACAGCCTCCTCACCCTCAATGAAGAGCTATTTTAAGAAAGAACAACTAAACCGAACTCAGCTGCCCCTTGGATTCACTGGATACGTCCCATCGTGGCCAAAGATAAGAATGTTCCTATCACCGCTTTAACTGTGCAGACAGCTTAGCTGAAAGTTTCCTTTACAGATTCATGCTTTATTCTTGCTGTTCTGGTAGACGAGCTGCAGACACTGAAATCTCTCAACCCAGAAGCTCATGCTAGAGCGGTTTTGCCCTCCTCTTGCTCTGCCCGCCGGCCACACAGTTGATGTCATCTTTTTACCCCTCCACGTGAAGGACACGCTGGCAAGGGGTACACAAGAAAGGCAGATACCAAAGGGGATCTGTGTCGGTGTCCCTTGGCACAGAACCAAAAAAGGGGAAGAAAAGTAAAGGAAATAAAAAGGTTTTGCTTTGGAACTAAAAATGCTGGGGAGAAAGGGGATTTTTAAATAGTCTTTCTTATTGACATAATATCTTGGAAAAATAGTTCTCAACCCCAAGAAATCGTCCAAATTCCATGAAGTGATGTCAGATGTCATCAGAGGGATATTCCTTCAGCTGCTTTCCTAGAGACACAATGTTTTTTGGACTGTCGCCTGGTTCTCCCTGGACATTGGTCACATTCCCTTTCCCTTTCTCCTTTATTAAAAATAATGACCATTTTCTATATTGACACATTGATGATTTGGGGCTATGATGACGTCAACATGGAGAGATATTAATCAGCCAGAGGAAAGGAGCAGAGATAGGGCGGATGGGAGGAGAGAGAGAAGAAAGAAAAGAAAAGGAGAAAAGAAGCGAACAGAGGAGAAAAGGAAGAAATGAGGGCAGAGAGGGAGTGACTGAGCCTCCACACAGCTCTGGTGCCAGGGAAGAAAAGCTGCACCCTCCCTTCCTATTCGAGTCCCCATTAAAATTAGGGATTGATCACTTGACAGCTTTCTCTCTTGTCTCCTGCCTCGCTCCCCCCCAGCCCTCCCGTTCCTGGCACGGTTTATGCGGGCTATCTGTGTGTTACTGGCTTCTCTGGCTTCATATTTACCAGTCTTGGCCGTCAGCCTTCTGTCCTCCCTCAACCCAGCGGTTCCACTAACGTTCCTTGAGCCACCCTCCACGGGGCCTCCTCCTCCACCACCAGCTCATTTGCTGGTTCTACTCATCTCCCTTTCCTTTCCTGCCCAACCCTCTCTCCAGCTATGAATTACCCTTCCATACGACAGTGTCCACATCCTGCTGGTGGCAAACCGAGTGCGCTGCCCTTAACTCCTGCACTCTACAGAGACACAGATGGAAGTCAGCAAGTCAAACGGAGAGAACACATGTGTAAAAGCCAGAGCTAGTTGGAAAGAGTCATTAACTGAATCGATAGAGGAAAGTCTGATTTTGTTGGAAACGAATATTTTTGTCCAGATTATTCCCTAAACCAAAAAGGGTAAAAGTGTAGATGTCAGGGTGTCTAGCACCATTTCAAAAGTTAATCAGAGCTAATGAAGATAAATGTCTTAGCTTGTCAACTAACATGACCAGAGCCTGGCTCAGATCTAAGATGTGGAAAATGGCCATTATTCTAAAATTCAGAGTTTAGCATCTTGCTTCAGAAATGATTTATTGAGACATAGATTTGTCATCCAAAATAACCTAACATTCAAAGAAGGGTGAAATGACATCCATAAATATCATAAATGGCACAGGATCATGAACTGACCAGAACTGTGTATGAAAAGAGAGATGAACTGCATTAATCTGCTTAATTTCTGCCAAGAGCTCCCTTTACTCATCCTCTCCATCCCCTACTTTGAGACATTCACCAGGAACTTCTCCTTGAGGACATGGATGGACGAAAGTGAAGTTTCACTTTGATTTTTATAAAAACTGTCTCAGAAACAAGCCTTCCTTGAGGCTAACATATCGAGTTGTTCTGCCCACTGCTTGAGGCTGTTATATCTGACAGGCCGCCTGGAAGAATGCCCACCTGCCTCATCACTGTGTCAGTGTGACCTACTGGTTTGGGACTAACCATTGCCCGGTGTCCAGCCCACCACATTCCTTTGTCCCCTGGATGGAGTGCATGCCTGCTCCCTGGCCACTGACCCCTTCCACACCCTAGTATCTAAGTCTCCACGCGAGCCCTGACTCTTGTTCGGTTTCTGATTTAGTAAAAGTGAAAGGATATAAAAATAATGCCTCTTTGTGCTCATTTAACAGTCAGTTGAATAACTCCTTTACAGACGGATAGAAATAATTCAAGCCAGAAAGGAGAGAAAGATCCTGAGCTGTCTGAAGGAAGTTGAGCCAGCATCAAAAAATGCCCATGTTAAGAAGCAAGACATAAAGGATGCAGGCATGTGGGCCCCGAGACTGGGACCCAGGGCCTTGCTTCCCACCGTCAGAGCAAGCCCCGTCCAGAGGAGATCCTGCCTGCACTCCACAGGCGGTCAGGCAGCCTCCATCAGAGCAAAACCAGATGCCCTGCAAGGACCCTCAGCCAATCCCCCTCACAGAAACAATCTGTGCCAAAGCTGGGATTCTTACTGGGGTTTGGTTACACTTAAACATTCCTGTCATTGCTGTGCATCGTTCTCTACCCACAGCCCACAGAAGAGCTCCCTCTGCCACCTCCATCTGCTCTCCACTCTGCCAACTATGCTTCCCCCTCTGGGCGAAAATCACCTTTGACCTGCTCTCCCAGTCCTTGGGTTGTGCTCACATGGCGGGGCTTACAGGTCCCCAGAGTGCCAACTAGTATTCTCCCAGCTGCCCCGTGCAACTTGGAAAACTTAGTTTTTCTCTCCTTCCATCAAAGTGCTCCTGCTGTTGGGCACATGGCTTTCTACTATGTCACCACACACTTTCCACTTTCGTTTTCCCATCTCCTGGTTGCTCCGTACACATCAAGGGCTTTCCGTCTTCCCTTCACCCCAGCTCCTAGGGTCACCTGAGGGAATGTCAACATTTAAGTGAAACTTCCACTGAAAACACAGTCTTATTTTTCTCCTTCCTTAACTCCAATGAGGTATTTGCATGCCATTCTCATTGTTACCCTTACTCAGATTGATTTGTTTTACTTCTGATCTCATGTGGCTCTTTAGTTCCATTTGTCTAAACTTTTATTTGTGTATGGTCATCTCCTCTCCAGAAATTATTTGAAATCGTCCCCATTCCTCTCTTATGTCTTCTCCCCCACCAACCTCAATCTCCTCTGACTCTTAGATAATCATGCCTCCTTCTCTGATGATAAAATTGAGGCCATTTATCATGAATTCCATCACTCCCTCCCATGTACGTGTGTGTGCGGCGCGCACAAACACACACTCTCAAACATTTACTTTCTCACCTGCTTGTATTCCCTTTCCTGTAGTCCCACAGGATGAGGTTTCTGAGCAAACCATAGCTGGCATCCTCTCTTTTTCCTTCTTCCTTTCCAATTCAAACTTCTTGAAAGGCTAATTTCCTCATCTCCCATTCATTTCTCTTTTTTTTCATGCACTCCCTAATTCCACTGCAACCTGGCTTTCACAGAACGGCTTCATCAAAACTGCTTTCACTGAAGCTGTTAGTGACCTCCTAGCTGTCCCTCCCCACAAAAATGAAAAAAATTCAGTCACCTCCTTATAGGAATCCTTTGTTTCACTTTTATATTGTTAATTATTTCCTGCTTCTTCACGTTCTCTGCTTTTATTGCAATGCTCTTTCTTGGTTCTCTTCTTGCTTTTGTGACCACCTATTCTCAGTCTCCATTGTGGGTTTCTCTTTCCCCTTCTAATCCTTGAAAGGTATTCCCCAAGGAACTGTTTGTAGCCCATTTTTTTGGTCACTTTCCTTGTTCACCATTGGGAACTTTTCTACTGTTAAACTTGGAAGCAACCATCAGTATTTGGAAAACTCTCAGAAAGACACAGATATATACACGTTGATCACCCCAGACATCTTGGAGTTGACATGTTAATATTACGGGTGGTTCTACCTGAGCACAAACAAAATTCAGACACAGTGAGTTTTAATGCATCTGAAATTGTGGTCCAACTGATGAATCTGTGGACATTTCTTCCATGGAGATATCTGCAAGACGGATTGCTTTTTGGCTAAACACAGAGGCAGTATGTGATGGTGTCCACAGAAGGATAAAAAGGCAAGAACAAGGAAAGAATCACAAT